CCATCGTTATCATCATTGCTAGCATCATCGCTTTCACCATCGTTATCATCATCGCTAGCATCATGGTTATCAACATCATTATCATCACCGTTATCATCGTCGCTATCAGCTTCTAAATGCACAGAAACGCAGGACAGTTTTCGACCCGTTAGCAAAAACATGCAGGCAAAGTGTGCCCGATCCGCATTGGAACACAAATACGGCGACTCTGGTGATCTTTGTTGAGGCCTCCCGCCACATAGCAAGCGCCGAGGCCCGCACTGCCCCGCGCGAGCTAGGACTGGAAAGGGATGGCTGTGAACGCGTTCGCACTCGACCCACAGGTACTAGAGAGCCTAGAGCCTGACTACACTCGAGGTCGATAGCACTAGTCCTCGCACATGCCGTGGCAGGGTCAAACCCAAGCAGAACCCGAGTGCTCGAAAGCAAGACTTCCAGGCCTTTGCTGCAAGTTGTCTTAAATGCCAAGCTCAACTCACAAACTCGCAAGGTTTGACCCCTCTTCAGGTCTCGGGGCTTGGGTTCACGTCACCGCTGCTGAAAACACACCATCTACAAGCCTACAAGATTGCTCATCTAGTATGTAGACCAGAACAGCAGTCGTCCAAAGAACCCACACTGCTGATTAAACCAACATACCTGAAGGGATGCTTCTGGCCTCCGCCCCCGAGACCACTGAGACCTTGGGAAGCATCCCGAGGGCGGCATCAAAGAGGTTGGAAGGATCCGGAGTGTGAGGCAAATGGTCGTGAATCTCACATCGACGGAGTGCCGACGACGTCAGACAACCGGGCTGTGAATCAGCGCGGCCAACGGGTCTGAACTTGTCTTTGGCTTTGGGTATCGCGGCCCAGGGGTTGAACTAGCCGGCCCAACGGCACGCTAAACCGCAAAACGCGTGGCTCAACGATTATGGTGAGTTCTCCGAAAAAGTGCACCTGGACTGACTGCACCTGGTTCACACCCCCAGCCACGTTGATCGAGCCGGCTGGGGTGACCCCTGCATGGTTTGCACCCACAGGACCCTGACACGTACAACTCCCACATCGGAAGCAGCTTGCATTCCCATGAGGTCTCGGCCACCGCCACTGCGAGCCGTGCTCCCGAGGCCTCGAAAGGAAAGATGTAGGGTTTGGGGGACACCCTAGCTGGGATGGAGTGGGTTCTGTCGAATGCTTCCGAGGGCTTCGTGGGGCTTCTCGGCGGCAAAGCTAGGTCCTCTACTTTTCAGGGAGGACAGCTTCAAGGCTTCATGGTTGCCTGGCTGATGCCTCGGTATGCTGTCGCTTGCCGTTTTCACAGACCATTTTTTGCCTTGTGCCAGTTCAGACAAACCAACCTTTGCTAGACTAGCAACGTCCAAGGTCAGGGACCAGCCCTGCGCCCGGCTGTATTGGAATTTGGCATCTGCCACCACCTGCAGTTGCATGGGTGCCGAACCGGAGCCTCCGCCGAAGCCGCGGCTGTCCCCGTAGCCCCTGGCGGCATGTTTTGGTGGAAAGTGGATGTAGGATTCAGGCGTCAGCCTCGCAGCTTGGGGGCCCGGAGATTCCGCGTCTCGTGTTCCAAGTGTTGGATGGATTTTCCCACTCCGGGTTCACTGCAAACGACATCCCGATCCCATCCAAAAAGTAAGCCTCAAGATCCCGAAACGGCCGAGGAACCCTTTGGAACCGTAGGCCATGGCCCGGAGCGCTGCGCGCCCGGCGCGCGCTGGCGCGCGCGGGAGGGCCGAAACACTCACGAAAGGATCGAGCAGGTTTGTTTTGGAAGATGGGAGTGATGGGGGGCCCTCGGATTTCGGAGGTTTACATGGAGGGCTCTGCTTGGACTTGTGACTTTTGGGGGGTCTGTGAGCTAGCCACCCGGGCTGGCAATGTCGGGCTGCAGCCGCAATTATTTTATTGGCCTCCCGGAAGCCGGTATGTGCGCATGTAGGCCCACTAAAGCGGGACGTGCTTCACGCCACATCCTTGCTCCCAACCCTTAGATCCAGGTTTGACGGTTTGACGGCTTGGGGCTGAGTGCTGTTGTTTTGAGGCGATTGCGGGTATGGGGTCCTAATTACACCTTACTCCCAGAAGACCCTAACGAAAACTCTGCCGAAAGAGCCAATCGCACACGCTGTTTGCACACAGCCGGGACCCTGACACTTTGGAGCACTTGGGGGCCGCACAAATCACAAACCGTCTCGGACTAACTGGAGCTCTCGGTCTCAGCCCCTACAAAGGGCCTCAACCGCCAGCTGCTTTGGGATCCTGACAACATCTAACGAAACCTACTCTTTGGGTGCGCGCGACCCGGGCCCACAGTGTTTCAGTCCCGCTGCGGCATTGAATTCTGGATGCAGCTCGCAAAGAGATCGGAACAGCCTTCCCAAGACTTCAGTTGGACGACCCGGATCCACAACTATGCCTACATGACTACATGCCCACAGCCTGTGCCTCCTGGTTCTGCTCTGGGCTTGTCCTAAAGTGGCTCTGCGACCGGCATCCGCGCAGCGAGTGTATGTGCAGTCACAGCTCTGCCGCGCACCAGCTGTGATGGAAAGTCGTCCGGCGTTGCAAGGCCAAGACTGGAAAACCGTCCTTCTTGCAGTGCTCCTTTTTTCAGAGCAAGTACGAAAGAGGTACAGGCCGTTCTACATGAGCCCTCAACCTGGGCCTACAGCTCCTCTCCCCGGCCTAAACGATGGGTCTTCTCAGGCCCTCCTCGCTGGGAGTGCCTCCAGGGCCGGAGTTGGGCCAAGGCTTTATCAGTTGCGTCGTCAAGGCAGTGCTGGGCAACCCCGAAGCCCAAAACATAAAACCCCAATTCCATGGACGTGCTCGCAGACCCTGACATCTCGCTGGCCTTCGCTGGCGAGCGTGCCCTGGGTAGGCAGCTGCCTTAGACCCCATCGGAATGCTGGGTTTGCAGGGCCCGGTCCAGCGTCTCAGTCTGGGGCTTCGGTCGGCTTGTTGGAAGGACTTATTCTAGCGGGTGTAGCCACGAATGTCGGGCTTCAAAAAGCACAGAGCCGCGGAAACCTAGCACCTCAAAACACCTCTGGGCGCTTGGAAACTGCTGGAGACCTTGCTCCGACTTCCCTCCTTGGCTGGGAAAAGCTCCGCGGTGTCTTCTGGGCACCCGTGCTCGCGAAGGTGATCTCTCCTAAGCCCAGCACAATCCCCGAGCAGGAGCAGACAGGGGCCACTGAAGAGCACGAACTGATTGCTGTTTCGGCGAGTTTCGGGGTCGCAAGTTGGGCATGCGAGTGTCCAAATCCCTCCGAGCATCTGATCCAGCAGCGCTGCCGCAGTTCTTGCCATAAAGTCGAGGAGGGCCTGTGCATTGCCAAGCGGCTCTCAAAGTTCGGAAGCACCGGAGTTGGTCTACCGGTTCCCGCCTCGCATGCATCTCGCTCCCGCTTGAGCTCGGGCAAGGACTTCTGCAGGGGCAGCACACGCACAAACTCAACAGCGGCCAGCTAATAAACAAGCTTCAAAGCGAATCCGAGACACCGGAAAGATATCTGCGGTCCAGAAAGCCAAACTTCAGCCTGAAAAAGTGTGCGTCCGGGAGGCCTCGTCCATCTGCTTTGGAGGCAAGGTCAACTTGGAGACGTACCTCTCGGGAGGGCTGAAGTCACCAAAGGAGCCAGGGCACCAGAGGGAAACTACCAAAACCGAATACCCAAGACTTTTGTTACGACAGGGAAAAATCATGAAACTCCGAAACACCTACAAAAAGCCGACATCGTACGATTAAACTCCAGATACAGGTTCCTGAAGCAAAAGGCTGCTGCCAACCCCAAAGAACCGAAACCCCAAACCCTCCCAAAAGGAAGCCCTCCAAACAACCTGTGCCTCGGCCCCGAACCCGAGACCCGGAGAGCTTTTCACGGTCTGAAGCTCTGAAAAGGTTGGCTCCGGCTCGTTCTTCAGCCGCAAACAAGTTTGGGAATTGGCCGGAACTCTGGGCGGAGACCATGACCCATAGAAGCCTTTTTGCTTTTGGCGCTAACCTGCGCATACTGCTAGCACTGGGTCTAAGTTCCAGAATCGCAAGGAAGCCCCAAATCTTCGCACGCTGCCGCCTCTTCAGCTGCAAACATGTTCTGAAGTCAGTGCACTCGAATTTCACCCTGCACATCTGCAGGCAATTTGTTGCAGGAATGTCGTCCCAATCATAGCTTTTGCGCTGGTAACCAAACTCGAAATTGCGAAGTCCAAAGCTACGCCCGAGTCCTAGCACCCAAAACCCTCAAACCCTGCATCCGAAACACCTAAGATTCAAAGCCCGAAAAGCCAAAGCAACCCCGAAAACTCCACCTGGGCGCACCTCCGGGCGACGAAAGCCGTCTGGTTCTCATCGCGCCGTGGGGACTCGGCCTCGGCCAGGGGTTCAAAGGTCCGAGATCGCATGATCGATGCTTGCAATCAACTACATGAGGCCAAAGTGAACAAAACATCCACGCTTATACGTGTGCATAGCAATAATGGTATAAGGGAAGATAGGAAGGTGCACAAGAACGAACTCTCATGTTGCCGGTCCATGGGCTGAAATGTTTTCTCATCTTTTCTATGCGTCTGTTCGCTCATGCTACCACCTGTATATGTATACGCGAGTACATACATACGTATCCGTATACATACCCCGACGCAAGGGAGTCTTGGAGGGAAGCCGGGCTCAACTGCCTCTGACTACTGGAGGAAGGGCCCTTAGGAACAGGTATCCTAGCGGGCGAGCCGACTACCAAGACTAGAGCCCCGGGGAGACGCAGAAGGCAAGGAGATGGTGATGGTGGCAACTACTTTTGATGGTACTGATGATGAAGATGACGACGACAATGATGATGTTGAGCATCATGTCAAGGATGATCTGATCGTCGACTCGCGTCTCCATCTACAGCAGCATAACATCATGAGCAATACCACGGTACCACAGCAAGAAGGAAGACATGGAATAACACATAAGAACTTCAAGAACGGCGGATGCAGGCCGCATGAACATAGTAGATGGAATTGTACACATGAAAGGTGGTGGAGAAGATCGAAACAAGTGCTCTTAAAGGTTCCACGTAACAGTAGTTGAGTCATTGATCGTGACAACAGATCCTTGTGTTACACGTGCTGCGTATTCTAATTCAGGCCAACCAAAGCCTCAGCTAAGGGGGGTGCAGAGCCCAACACAACCAACGAAACCACAGGAGCGGTGTTGCATGCAGGTTCAAGGGTACCACCGCAGGCCCCGGGGGATGGATACCACGGGGGGGGAGGGTGGGTAGGTGTGGCAGCCCTGCATCATACATATATACATATACATAAACATAGATGTACACATGTACGTATATAGAGATATACATATATACATATGTACATGTATATATATATATATGTATGTATGTATGTATGTATGTATGTATGTATGTATGTATGTATGTATATAGAAATATATACATATACATATGTACATATATACGTATATACATATGTACATATATACATATGTACATATAAAATATATACATACAGGTTTACATATACATATATATATATAGCATATACATGTATGCATATATAAGACAGACCGACCGACCGACCGACCGAGCGACCGACAGACAGACAGACAATGCCTGCATACAGACATGCATACATATGTCCGTGCATCATCATGCATATGTACGCACTTGTCTACTAGGCTGGATAATGCTGATTTAATCTACGATGGCGTGCAAATATCATCGGATGCCGCAAGATCTCTAGTGCAGAGCTTCAGTCTCCCCCCGAAACTGCAAGCTTCAATGACCGGCGCCAGCTCTGAGCTTGCCACCATGTGACCGCCTCCTGCACATGAAGGTCGGCGCTGCTCCTATCTACTCCTGCGTCGACTGCATCTTGCAGCCTCCGTCTGCGCTGTCCACGTTGTGATGGGCGACCTCTTTGGCAGCAGCATCTGCCTGTGGGCAACATCAAAACGAGGAGGGAAAGGGGATTCTGTGAAGCTCGCGATGGGTTGTTCCGGCCGATGCTGCCTTGGGTCGATTTTAACTGCGTGTTGCTATGACGAAAACTTTGCGTCTGAGCAATGACACTCAGAAACTGGCACTGTCAAACTGCTCGGGGCTTACAGTCCACGGCCTCGGGCATTCAGGCTTGTCACAACCACAGGGCGGCCTACGCTTCTAGCCGGCTCTCCCACCATGCACCATGTGGAATGTCCAAGCACTGCTCATGATTGCATCTTGACTCTCGGCACTAAACCGAAGTCCCGCTGGTGCAAAGAGTTCCGGTTGCGGGCCTCTGCACCTATGAGCTGGAGCTGCGAGTTCAGGCTCTGCATCACTTGCTGCAGCGCCTGGCATTTCGGGAATCTCGAAATCCATGAGAAAGCCTGCATTGCTACTGTTTTGCCACGGCTATGGCCTCAGCATTGTTGCATCAGAATTTGAATTGTGGGGATTCGCATGCCGCTATTCGTCATTGCCCACTGCTACCACCAGCGCCATCGCAACCATGAGGAGGAGAACAATCTGAGATACACATAACAAGAAGGAGTAGAATAAAAATGGTATAACTCAATCTCTGCGCTTTGAAATAGCTTTTTCATGTACAGCATCGTGTCCTGAAGGTACGGGGGCCCTCAGCACACAAGAAACCAGCAGCACCTCCAGCTCGTGCATCATCTCCGGGCTGTGCCCTGGCTCCTGAGGTGACCGGTCGCTGGGTGGCTTTGCACTCATGCTCGAGGCGGTTCTGTGCTCCCACCCGCTTCCCGAAGCTGTCGCCTGCATCACGGGGCTCGGGGCGCCATCGACGTTCAACCTCGAGCTGCCGAGGAATTCAGAATTATCAGCTCGGAGCTCTCTGTGGAAGTCTTTAGAGGTGCCTGAGATCGAAGTTTTAGTGCTCCAGCTGCCAGCTACTTGCAGCGAGCAGCATCCGTCGCCCGGCGAAGACCTCCTCTGCCTGATCCGAGGCAAGGAGAAGCCTACACGGGTGCTAGGGAGCCTAGGGCTAACAGCCAGCAAGGTTGGCAAAGTAGCAGGGGCTGTCGAACGGGAGGGCTTGGTACAGTGAAACCTCGACAGTGGAGTGTCCGCTCCACCATCCTACGGCATTGCTTTGCTTGCCGTCATTGGCTGGACGGCATGTAGGGGTAAGGACTGCCGGAACGATAAGCAAGCTCAACCACGAACAGACAACGGGATACAACAGGAGCAGGAAGTGTCTACAAGGGAACTTTGGGATAAGAGGTGCACAGCACGCTCATCGCAACCGTCACAGTCACAACATGTCACAACGAAGCCTCGTGCAAAGCAAAAGCCCTGAACACACGCTGTACGAAATTGAAACAGTCGTAACAAAGAAGTCGCAGCAAGCGACCGTTGCCACAATTGACCCGCCTGCAGCGAGGGCGTGGGCTTCCCGAAGAGCTGGCACTCGAGCCGGCCCAGCTGCTCCAGGAACTCCTCGAGAGGGGCCAGAGGAAGGGCGGCCCCCAAGGCACTGCACAGGGCACCTGCCGTGGATCGGCGATGGGCCGCTGCCTCCGCAGGAAGTCGTAAGCCTCTTGGAGGCTCCGCCGCTCCTGAGCTGCACGGCTCAGCCTTCGCTCTGAGGCATCCCGGTGAAATCGTCTTCGTGATCACACAGTATCGCACATCTCGTTCGCCTGACATTCCAAACCTCTCTTGCGGCTGCGGGGCAAACTTCATGAGGTAGGCAAGGACCTGAGTTCAAGGGATGCTTCTGAACCTGGTTTCATGGCTTCTTGGCTTCCACCCGGCGAAATGATTAGAATGAGTCAGAGTCTGCACAGCCTTCAACCCCAAACTATCACAGCAATACCGCTGGACAAACCTGAGTCGCGCTTCCATGAAAGGCACAAACAAAAGTTGCTTCCACTGGGTGCAAGGCTACTGCAGCGGACCGCGACACGCCCTGCACGCAGTTCACCAGCACCTTTCTCAGCACTTCATCTGATATCTAACTTGCCTCATGAAGGCCTCTGATATCTAAATTGCCGCATGAAAGCCTCTTGTGCAACAAGACTCCGCTGTACGACCCGGACTTGTCTCGGTGCTCCCCTCTGCCGCCCAGGTGCCCGGTGCTGGTCGCCAGAGCAACGCGCGTCGTGGATGAACTCTAGTGCACCTGAGTGAGGGTTCCAGTCGAAGCGCCTTGAACGTGCGGAAGTGAGAAATGGATTGGACCCTACTGCGAACAGAGATGAGGAGCTTGAATCGAAGGAATCGGGAATGGGTTTGGGTGGGTTTGGGGTTACCTTCGGACCGTGTCGCAACAAGAAACTGTCCAAGGCATTTAAGAATGCTCCTTCTCCGGTCATGAACCTGCACCCTCACATCATAAGGAGTCCAATGAGTCCAATAAGTTGTACAGATCTGACGAGCTGGAATCAAGCAAACACCATTGGCAAAATAGGACCATTTAATATCCTGGCGCCAGTGATGTCAAAGCCATCATTCGCCGCAGTTTGCAAAGGCGTGTTCGAAAATTGAAACATGCTCCATCGCGCAAAAACTGAGTGCATGCGCATACACAATGTTCTGTATATACTTTTACACATACATACTAGATGTTACATATATATTAGCCCCCATGTACTCCCACCGTTCTGCCTTCAATGACTCGGCTTCCCAGAAAACGAGAGAAAGCAGAGCCAGGAAACCAAAAAATCACCAAACACAAAAATGAAACATCGGAGGTCAAAGCCAGGTCAGAACCATCCCAAAACATTAGAAACGATGGAGTTGCTGGCAGTCGTCGTCGTCGTCGTCGCTGTTGCAGCGCAACAATTTTCAATTGAACGCTGCGCGCGCGTGCTCTGCGCTTGGCGGGCGCTGGACTTAGCCGACACTCGGTGAAACCTCCTGAAGACATGTCCGAAATCAACTCAAGAGTAGCTCCTGAAAAAAAGCACTGCTCCTACCTGCTCAGAACGCAAGCAACATTCACTGCTTAGGCGTCACTTGCGAGATGAGGGCTGAGACGGATGTACAACCTCCGACACCCTAAGTGTGTACTGTCGCGTCCGACGCACACGGACCAACGTCTGTTGAGTCGTACCTTGAAGTCAAGGCCGGGTCTCAGAGTGCCAGTNNTCCCGCACTTGGTCACTCACAGACGAGGGCGATGGGCCGTAAGGAAGCCTGAGGCCTGGTCAGCATGCCTGAAAGCTGTCAGCATACCTGAAGGCTCGTGAAAGACAAAAGGCAATCGCCAATCTCCTATCGCGCGCTGGACGGATAGCAGAGCTGTCGCACTTTTTGAAGCCAGCGTGACAAGCTGTGCGAAGCAGTGCAAGCGGCAGACTGACTCAGAAAGAGGCTGCAAAAAGAGGGCAGAGACTGCCTGACTCAAGGAACAGGTTCTTGTACATGGGCACGGGCACGAATATCGTGCTCAGAGTTTTTGAGCACCTTT